AGAAGCAAAAAGAGAAATGTGTGTATAATTCATAAAATTTTTAAAGGTTCCTTAAAGAGAATTTTTAGAAGAATTTCTAATTAATATTGAAATAGTTATTATTACCGTTCTTGCATATTTAAAAAGTGTACGGAGAAACGGTCTATAAATTTCTTTCTGATTATGCCATCGAATGTAAATTATTTTTTACACGTGAATAATATTAAAAGGAATATTACATATCGATTGAAAATAACATGTTACATCCCAGACAGCACAAGGATGTCCTTAGGACGTCCAAAGGGCATCCAGGACATACAGATATCCTAACCTCGCGTATGTCACTGTTTTAATATCTCATTATTGTGTTTGTAGTATTAAACATATATTTGTAAGCTTGCGAGATTTTGCTTTTTCTACATAGTGACCCAGACAGCACAAAATGTCCTCAGGTTCATCCTGAATATGTCCAGGATGGTTCAGGATATTTGTAGGATGTTTTAAGATATTATTATAAATATATTTTATGAAAATTTAATATGCATACATGATTACTTTCGGTTATGTAGGCTATTTAATTTAATTTAGAAATTTTAAGTATTGTAATAAGTATTAATGTCCTATAAATGTCCATTGGATAACCCCTGGATGTCTGTAGGATATTTGCCCTGTCTATTATATTGGATGCCCTTTGGACGTCCTAAGGACATCCTTGTGCTGTCTGGGTAATAGACAGGGCAGATATCCTACAGACATCCAGGGGTTATCCAATGGACATTTATAGGACATTAATACTTATTACAATACTTAAAATTTCTAAATTATATTAAATAGCCTACATAACCGAAAGTAATCATGTATGCATATTAAATTTTCATAAAATATATTTATAATAATATCTTAAAACATCCTACAAATATCCTGAACCATCCTGGACATATTCAGGATGATCCTGAGGACGTTTTGTGCTGTCTGGGATATTAATTGAAAATTCTTTAAAATTCCCTTTGAGGTATTTTTTTAAATTCTATGAATTATGCATCCTCTCCGCCCTCGTTGTTAAAAGGAATAATATCGTTATTAAATTTTATTTACAACTATAACTTCTTATAATCTTCTTTTCGTTCATTTATTAAAAGATTCATTACTTTTCATTTGTCGCAAATCATTTGATTAAATTAATAATACGTACGACGTGTGCTTAATGAAAATGGCTAATGATCGCGATGAATAATGAGAGCCACTTGCTCGTGGAAGAATATTTTTACACGATGCCCGACTCGTTTTGATCCAGACACACCGTGAAGTATGTAAAGACGGCAATACATTCCTTGAAAACCTTGAATATGTTTACCCATGGACCAGGTCACTGTCTCAATACTACTCCCGCCATTCAACTAGAAATTCTCAACCTGTGGGAATCTTCAGGTAGACACGAGAGGAACCTGACTGAAGTGCAACGTGTCTCCAAGATTTTCTTTAAGAATATACGGATTTTCGAACGATGCTTGCCGACAATACCCTCAAAGTGCTTGAAAGACTCAAGAGACGAACAAATGGTTTAAGCTCTAACGGATTTCTGAGAAATTTGGTGCAACAGATAAGTCCAGCAATAAGAATTGAGTGATTAAATCAATCCTGGAATTTTTTATTAATATTTTTTAATAGATTGATTAATATAAAAAAATATCTAACTGTTTGAAAAAAAAGAGATTACATCGTCTCAATCACTAAATAAGGAAAGTTGTGACATATACTTAATGACTTTCTCGTATAATATAAAGATTTGCGCCACATTCGCTCATGGATAAAAAAAAATATAATAAAAATGGAGAAAAATAATGAACGGAAGGGGGAAGGGAGGGTCACTGCGAAGTGGCGGCAATCTCCGATGTCACAGAGAGGGTCGCCGGTATCCCTCTCGAAGAAGAAGAAGGAGAAGAAGAAGAAGAAGAGAGAATTCCGGCCACAGCTCATGTTTCAGTTTTCGGCTTTCCGAGAAATATTCTTACGCGCTCTTCCCGCGCACGCGGAGGGCCTCCTTATTTCTCACTCACTTCTTTCATATTCTCCTTCTTTTTCTCGTCCTTCCTGCAGATTCAACGGTCTACATTTACGGGGGTGGATACGATACACACCACCACCGCCCGTGAGACTCGAAGGGAGAGCTATCCAATGACTGAAAATCGTTAATGCAGTAGGTTTGACCGTAGGAGGAAAAATACGTTCAGGCTTATCGACCATGAATTAGAAGTGTTTTTAAGCGGTGTGCTTTTAAAAGCACACTCTTGATTTATTGCCATGAAATCACGTTAGAAGAGCGGATCTAAAAATGAAAAAACGTTCTATTCGAGGAGACGAGATGTGAAGTCATCGTGCGTATTATTAACTTAATCAATTGATTTGCGACAAATTGAGTCTTTTAATAAATGAAAGAAAAAGATGTATATTGTGTAGAAAAATATTATAGTTTTACAAAATTTAATAATGATATAATTTTTTTTTAACGATGAGGGCAGAGAGAGTAAAGAGAAAGAGAGAGAGATGCATAATTTATAGAATTTTTAAAAATCAAGGTAATTGTAAGCAAAGAAGCACTCGTATTTTTATGGAATATATTTTTTGGGTGATTTTTCTAATAAAAGTGTTATTATATATCGTCAATATTTATAACTTCCCCTCTCTTCTTTTGTACTAAATCCAAGCAAATTATAATCGCTTACCCATTCTTTTCAAACTTTTGATTCATTTGAAAATTATTTAGTAATATTTTTTGAGATCTAAAGAACACGTCAAAAAGAAAATTATTTGTTTAATTAAATTAATTTGTTTAATATACAAAAATATCCTATCTTCTGTTTTTATTAAGATTAGAATCTATTGAATGCCAGAATTAACTTGTTGTAAAGGAAAGTGCGGTTAATCAAAGACAATCTTCGGACAATAAGACCGAACTCTAACACGTATGCAAATCCTAGGAGAAATGTACTCGAAATGTACGGACAGATTATAACGCGTGTACGTAGACGTATTCTTCTAATTCCGCGAAGGCGGCTCGCGATGTTTCCGGACACAATACCTCACCGAAGCACAAAGCTCTTGTTTGTCGGTTTGTCGGTTCTTACGCGCGATCGACTGACCCAAGTCGACGTATCCGAGGTATCCTTGCACCTTGCTGAATAATAACCTCGCCTGTACAAACGAGCGCGTATACGACGCCGAATTGAATTCCGTTCCGCGAAGGGCATCAAGATGCTTTCATACACGATCGTTTCTTTCATCGTTTCGGAGAGAGGGTGGAAGGGTCTCACACATATACACACACATACATAAATAGCCACATTATATCCGCGGGATATTAAATCTATGTTAGAGAGCGGTGTAAAAAACTAAAGAGGCGAGAGAAGGAATAGCGCGGGAAACATTCGGGGAGGTCTTCTTAAAGGGGACTTTGAATGATCTCTCATCATGAGACGGAATTTCTTGAACTGTATATATTGATCTCACGGTTATTACTAATGACCGATAATTAGCGATAATTGTTGGCGTCGGAAAAATGTATAGGAAAGATAAAATATTACACATGTTTAACACGAGGGAGGAAAGCAATAGAGAGTAAAGGAAATTTCAACCCTTTTCGTTTATTTTATTTAGTTTTTGTGTTGTTTTTTAAAAATGTGATGTTGACTTTTCTTAGGAAAATATGGGTGAAATTGCGATTGCACAGTGCGCTGAGCAAATCCGCACGATTTTTCTACCATCGTTATATATTTATTTATATAGTGTGTCTATATTGCCTCTGTATCATCTCTCGTGTGCAGGTAAAGCAAGTGAAACCGAAGAGAAAAGTCTTTCACCATTTTGTAATAATTATTAAGAAATTAATTAAAAAAGATCGACCAATTTTGCTCTACCTATATGTATTTATATGTGTTATATAGATCTGATCGGAAAAATATAATCTTATTGCGAATTGATAGCAATCCGCTGCAATATATTGATCAAATTGCTGACTAGCATAAATTTGTCAAATGTCACTAACATTTTGCTCGCTTTTACAAAAATATGTATTTCTAAGCTTTAAATTAACTTACTGTTATTGCTATTTGCTATGGCTACAGGCTACCTAGTTATTTGGTTGCTATGGTTAAGAGGATGCCGGACCGTCCTGTTTTACCGGCCATAATAATTATATATTTGCTTAATATAAGGGTTTTGCGGTGTGTACGTGCAAAATAGGATACCTCTCCACTCGGAAATGCATGAAGGAATATAAGTGAACGTTTGAAAATGTATTTGAAAGCCTAGTAAGAAACATTTCGGTGTGCAAAATGTTGCATAGTAAAATCTTTTTTATAAAGCTTCTAAACTCACTTCTCGAAGTTCACTAATACTCTTTGATAAAATGCCGAGTGCGGAGTTCACTTGTTAGGCACGTGCAGGTTGCAGGTTTTTTATATTAAGTAAATGTTGACGGCAGAAGCCGATAACAAAACTGTGATTTTTTAATTTTTTTTCACTTTTCATATGAAATCATAAACCCCGCACTCCGTTATTATGTATACTTTAATTATGGAAAAGGATTTGTTGATATCTATAATCAACAAAAATATTTTGCAATCCTACTAATATTCGCATTCTGTCGGTATCCGGCATCCTCTTAATCTGTCTGTCGCCGCGCATTCCCGCTTTATTTACCTACGACAAATACTTTCTTAATCTTTGCAAAAACAATGTTTTTTACATTCGAAGTTTATATTTACTCACTGTTGTGCTTTTTTTCATGCTATATTTTCCCCTCCCAGGTGAAAAATCGTTGGTATCACACTACGAAATAAGTTTAAACGCGCCACAATAAAGTTACACTTGCGTTAAATACCGTGAAATGAGCGGCGGAAGTGACGCACGTGACTCCGCACAGCGTCGTTTAATATCAAAGTGGCGACATCTCTAGATAACATAGGAAAGAAATCTTGCTCCCTTTATCCTGATTGGTCGAACGCTACTTTATCCCACGGGTAAGATTTTCGAACGAATCCATAATCTCACTTTACGTAGGCTTTACGGCGCTAATATAACCTAAGTGTTCGAATTTTGTCACTTTGCTGTACAAATTATTTTAAGAGATTCCATAGATTTTGAAGCTTGATCGTACATATATTATATACGAATTAAAGCCACAAAATGTCGGAGCGTAAAGTTTTAAATGTAAGTACGAAATTTAAGATGGTTAATTATTTGTTTATGGCGTGTCTATATCCTTCGTATTTCAATAAATCTATCTTTTTGTGTGTATTTTTAGAAATATTACCCACCAGATTTTGATCCGTCGAAAATCCCGCGTATGAAATTGGCGAGAAATCGCCAATACACTGTACGATTAATGGCACCGTTTAATATGCGATGCAAAACATGTGGTGAATACATCTATAAGGGCAAGAAATTTAATGCGCGTAAAGAGGATGTCGAAGGTGACGATTATCTGGGCATACGCATCTACAGGTTTTACATTAAGTGCACTCGCTGTCTGCAAGAGATATCCTTTAAGACGGATCCTAAGAACACAGATTACGAGATTGAAGCAGGTGCAACGAGAAATTTCATGGCACTGAAACTGGCTGAGGAACAAGCTCAAAGAGAGGAGGATGAGGAGAAAGAAGAGGAAGCAACTAATCCAATGAAGCTTTTGGAAAAGAGAACGCTCCAGTCTAAACAGGAACTAGAACTATTAGAATCTTTGGAAGAATTGAAGGATTTAAATCGTAGACAACAGACTATAGATTATGATCAAATGTTGGAACAATATGATACAGAGACTGCTAGACAGAGGACAGAAAAAGAACAAGAAGAATTGGACGAACAATATATTAAATCTGTATTTGGTAAAAGACAATTGACTGGAACTGTTGTAGAAGAGAAAATTGAAGAAGTGAAGGAAGAAGAAAATGTTGAACCTGTTAGAAAAATGTTTAAAACAGGAGAAACAAATGATGAAGAAAGAGTGAGTTAATTTTACATTTAATAAAATTCATTCATTTTTATTATTATTTTCAATTTCAGGAAGAATTGATGAATAAAGTGTATATTAAAACTAATGATTATAATTATTTATTATTTGCAGGAAGATTCTGAACATTCCTCGAAATCTACAAAAGTATCATTGTGGTCGGAAAATATAGGATTATCATTCAACAAGAAGGATTTAGTCAAGAAAAGTAATATTGGTATAAAGATAAACGCAAAGTCAACACAAAATAAAACGTCTACAAGCACTGTTCTCGTTGATTCGCAATTGGATGAAACACCTAACATGACAAGTACCTCAGATACAGATATAGTCTCTAAATCAACTAATGTAAGTAACAGTTTGTCACTATTAGGTGCATATTCGAGTAGTAGCGATAGTGATTAAAGAAGAATATAGAGCAATATGTGTAATATATAATACATATATATTTTTTTCATGTATATATTTTTATTCAACGAAATAAATGTTGTTATATAAAATAAACGAATCTACAAATAGCGCATTTATAAATACGTTAAACATCTCGAAATATAGTAATAACTACAAAATATATGTAATTATATAAAATTATATATAATTTATATATAATTTTAAATATGCTCTTATATGTCCATCAGACATATATATGCACATGTAAGTAATTTATTAAATTTAATATGACTTGCAGGTCGATACTTATACGATGTGTCGATGATTACAGAGTTTCTTATAGGATGCCGAAGGCTTTAGTCCTAAAACATAAACGATTAGATTATCAGAAATATAAAAAAATTGAAAGTTGGTCTGTTTACAAGGCTAGGCACTCTGTAAGAAACTCTGTTGTCAAGTTGAATGAACATATAATGTAATAGAGAGGGAGTACCTAGCCTACTAAAACAGACCATATTAACACACTCGAGATGAGAAAAAATTTAAAAATTTTTGAAATTTTATTATGATGAATAAAGCTTGTCTATGTATGTGTGGATGCGCGCGTGCGTGCGCGCGTGTGCGTGTTTATGCGTATGTGTGATATATGCAATATTCTCATAAAAAAGATCTGTCTTGAGTGCATTAATGTGATGTCTATTTATTTCTATAATGACAACGATTAATTTATTAAAAATAATGGGCATTTGCAAGTTTTGATATTAGCATAATTTATTAAGTTAATAAATCAAGAATTAATTGTTAAATTACGAACACTAATAAAATTTTCAGAACTAAAAAAAGCTACTAACATGTATGTATATCATTATCATATTTCAATTACTATAATTATTATATAATGTAAGAAACACTTCTCAATTCAAATCAATGCAATTATTGTTTAAATATAGACTATTTAAATAATTACTTGATCAATATATGGACCATCCATTAAGAATTTAAACTGCAATTCAAGAGTAATATGATAAATCATGACATTATGTCATGCGAATAATTGGATTACAACGTTGACGAGATGTGTTATGAAGAAATCGTTTTGAGAAACGACTATATCGACGACAATACTGTTCGCGACGACGATGTGACTTCCTGCTACGGCCCTCATCATTATCGCGATTTATAATAGGATCAACGATCCTGAAAAAGCAATCTGTGTCTTTTTCGAATGAGCTATGCTCATTGTGAAACCTATTTAAGCCAATCGTAGGCTCACCGAAGGCTTCTAAAGCCGAGGAATCCATCAGCCAACCATAGAGGGAGTCCCGAATAGGAACTTGATGATCTTTAACGTGACGGATTATGTTATGTTTAAATTTCTCATTAGTTGCGCGTTGACATTGCTCGCAAACGAAAGCCTCTTCATTATCGAAAGAAACACGGCGCCAATCGTCGAGATAAAATTCTTCTCGCGGAAGAAATTGATTTTTTATAGGTGAAGTGTGATGATATCGATAATGCGATGATTCTGATCTTTCGCGTGAACGCGAATCGATAAGACGAAATGTTGGCATGGATGCTTTCATTAACGCTCGCTTCGACTCGCAAGAAAAGGTACGCGACAGTTTATCGTCGATGATGTTTGGCCGAGGTTTACCATCCGAATATTTTCTCATGACATACCGATTGTTATTGTTCTTCTCTCGTAAGCTAATTTCTAGCTGAGCGATGCGATGCTCCAACCGCGTGCGTTGTGCCTGCGCCCGATCCTGCTGATCCTCCAGCAGCTTGACCAGCTTCTCCAATCGCATCACTTGCATCTGCTTGTTCTCCAGCGTAGTATACAATTCTTGGATTGCTTCAGTCTTCGCCGCGATCTGCTTATTGATCTAGAGAAATAGTTATCAATGTTAGTAAGCTCTGAAAAATATGATTCATGGCAAAACTAATGCGTCAAATCACAAAACATATTATAATCAGAAGATCTAGAAAATGCAAATCAGGAAATATAAATATATTAAAATTTCTATAATCTATGTATAGATTAAATATGGATTAACACACACACAAAAGAGAGAAAGAAAGAAAGAGCATATAAAATATTATATGTATATAATTTATAAATTATTATTTTATTCTATTAAAGTAATATTAATTGTATAATTATTATATTTCTTTGAGAATAATATTGAGTGACATGAAAAAACTAATAACTAATGTTAAAGGCGGACTTTAACTATTCACCTTTTTTCTCTTTCTTCGTTGATTTCCTTATCGATCGCTTCAAACTTTTCTGATAATTCCTTAATGGTAGTATTTGCTTCAACTTCTTTGTGAACCATCTTTTGTTTGAGCTCTAGCATTCTAAAGTGGGTAAAAAAATATAGATCACGTACAGAAAAGGATCGATTGTGCTCTTATTATATGTAACCAATCTTATTATTAAAAAAAAATTGTGATATTTCGACAACGATTAAAATGACAACCGTGATTCAAAAGTGTTGCGTTGCTTCTCCATCTTCGTTATGAGATCCTCGCTACTCTTCAGCGCTTTGTTCATATCCTTCATTCTCAGTTCCATTGTCTGATCCTTTTGCTTTAACTGAACCTCCAAAGACTTCATGCCGTTTTGTAATTGCTGCGACTTTAGCTCCTCGTTAGCCACATGCCCCTCTAACTCACGAATCTTCGTTCGTGCTTTTTGCATCTGTAATTCTATCATTCGCATCCTTTCCTTGCCTTGACTCGCCTTGTCACGTTCCGTTCTTAGCTCCTGCAAAGCAGCGCTTAGCTGCTCCTGCAAATCCTTGCGCTCGACATTCGGTTGCTCCTTCTTCATTCGCCCGAGATAATTGTCATATTCAATGCGCAAATTTGAAGATCTCGTCTCATATTCGGCGATAAAGTCGTTTTGGGCCGTCCTCAGCTGGTCCAGTTGCATTTTTAGTTCCTCGTTGCTCTGTGCGAGGATCGTTTGTTGCATCTCTGCTTCCGAATAATCCACTAAAATCGACACTTTACAATCGGCACAATTATCCATCTCGTCCTGCTGGTGCGATTCTGTCAGCCAGGACTTTACGAAAGACGCGAACGACGAGCTCTTATCCAGGGCACGTTGACAGAGTTCTTGAGAGCGGTCGCAGAGATTCTGCAGCTGATTTTGCAGCAGCGACACGCCGATCACCATCGACTCGTCCATGCAGATCTGCTCCCATTGTCCGTTATCATGCAAGTTTGTCTCGATTGACGTCGGCAGGTTTTGCTTAGGACATTCAACTTGAGATAACTTTAGTTCTTCGACCTTGCCGGGATCCTTGCCGCCGGCTGTGATTATCTTCTCCCGTAGACTCGATATCTCGTCGTACAGATCCTGCGTGATTTTCTGGAAACGCAGCAGGAAAGAATTTCATTTTGGATCTGAAAAAAAAAATGATAAGAGAGAGAATGACTCATGTTACTTCATCAATATCTTCGTAATTTTCATTAGCGAGATTATCCACGTTCGCCTGCTTTCCCTTGAGAAGAGTCAACAACTCGTCTCTGGCTTTGAGGAATTTGCTCTGCTCCCGCATCACCCGATCACGTTGCTCCAGCTCCAGCTGTTTCTGAGTCAGAGTTGTTTCCAGTTCTTGGTTTTGTTGCATAGCCTCGGTTAGACTATTTCGCAAATCGCAGACCTGCTGCTGAAGCTCGATCGTGTCGAATTCTGTTTTACCACCCTCTTTCGATTTTGCGTAAAGATGACGTTGAATTTCGGATAACTGATTCTGGAGCACTTCATTTCTTTCTTGCCTGCACAATTCATAACAGAGATTGATAATGTGACTTGCAAATTAAAAAAATATGAGTTATAAGCAAATTTTTTAAATTAAGAATGTAAAAGATTGTCATATATATCACAAGAATAATCTAGCTTCTATATCGTGAAAAATTGATCAGTTTAATTATTTCGACGTTATATATGTATATTGTGTAATTTACATATTTTAAATGAAAGTATTAATTATGCATTGTATATTCAGTAATATTAATAGGATTAATGTTCTAATGTTAAAGCTTACGTGAATCTGGCGATCTTTTGAAGCTGCGCATGTTCTAACAACAGATTCTGGAGATCATTGGTCTTGGCTATGAGTTCGGCAGCCAGTTTATCCTTTGTCTCATCTTCGCTATCGCTCTGCGGACGAATAAAAAAGACGAATAATCGAAATTAATTTCGAGGACAAGTATTTAACAGAGATGAAAATAAAGACGGTCTAACGAGCGAACGAATCGAACGAGGAAGCGAATCGAACGGTTCTTAGTTCTTATATGAGCAGAGGTCCCGAAAGTAATGTAAACTAACGGCCGCCTGATGCATCACAGTGACAATCTCTTGCTTCTCCCTCTCGAGTTGCCCGATTTTTTCCCTCATATGTTCTAGTTCAGCTCGGGCCGCAGTCAAATCGTTATACAGACAAATTTCGTTCTCCGTGTGATTGTTATCTAAAATACAATCGAGATAAAAACTTTCGACGAATAAATATTACGTTCACATTTATATCGTTTGAATTTGTAAATGCAAAACACACTTGCAAAGATTTTGTTGATATTTTAAACTGCTTATCTACCTGTCACAGTTATATTATTGCTCTTTTCATTTGCGAGGTCGCAGAGCAGCTGACTTTTCTCTTCGAGATGTTTGCAGCGTTCTTCGATCTCTGTTAAAGCGCTTTCAGCATGTTGTCTATAATGAATTTGATTGAAATTAATTTTAGTAACATTTTTTAAAATAAAATTTATCGCAAATTAAGAAAAGTTTATTCACACACACACACACACACTTTTATTATAATATTGACTTTGCTCAGAGCTTAAAGTCTGATATATTAAAAAAAAAAATTATCCTAGAATTTACAACAATCAAAGAATCTGCAATAACATAAAGAAGAGTAACGAAAAAAATCTTCTAACGTAATATACGAAAATTCGTTTTACCTGTTTATCGGCGAGCGTTCTTTTTAAATTCGCGTATCGTAACTTTTTTGAGCTATATTGAATCTCCAGCTGTCGTTTTTCCGCGGTAATTGCATTCGTTGGTTTTCTGTTATACGACGATATATTCGGAGTCATGCTTGGTCGCCGAGCGGAGTTATTATTGGAGCTAATACCGCTAGAAGACTCTTCGTACATTGGTGAATCGCCCTGCAAAAAGATAATGAGTTTGACGCGTAGTGTAAAATAGAAAATAAAATATTGAAAAAACATTGTGAATTATTATGAATAATTAATATTAATTAATTGATTATTATTGAATATTAATAATGAATTCATATTAAT